ATCAGGATTTCTTCTCAGGAGACCAAAGAGGACGAAGTAAGGGTCAAGAAGTCACATTACAAGGTCTAGAATTTTTTGAGGCGCAGTACAGGGAAATACCAGTGAAAGTGACCCTGCAAGCCAAACCGAAACATTTCTGAAAGATGCTTGCAATTTTTCGATGGCCCATAGAGAGCAATGAATACAGTTAGATTTGAACTTCAGTGACACCAGCTTTTCTTTTTGTAATTTTCTCAGTAGTTCTTTTGGCAAAGAAAATATTTCTCCACAAGAAAGTTACTGCAGTTGGCTTTTTGACAGCAAATATCTATAAATCCTAGGAAAAGACACTCACTTTAATTTAACAGCCTAGGATCACTCATTGAAACTTTCCTTCTTTTCTTTTTCTGTGTCCTGAGTTGACATTAGTATATGGCCCCAATGTGCTCTGTAACTTCAGATATTTCCCCATATGCAAGTAATTTTTGCGCAAGAGAAAAAAAAGCTGCCTGCTGTTTGAAGGAAACAGACATACACACACAAATATATGCATACATTTCTAAAGAACAGCAATCTCCTCGTATTTGTTATTATACCACTGCTTTTTGTAATCAAAAGCCTGAGACAGCGTTTATTGAATGACCTCAAGCAAAAAGAGTGTTAATCTTTTAATATTAGAAAGGTGACGTGGAGGTTGCCTTTGTGGTTGCCATTCATAGTATCTTTTGTTCAGCACTCTAAAACCAAAAATTTTCAAATTGTTATGAAAACTAAAAAAAGTTTGTCAGTGGCCCATTTTCATGTCTAGCTTTCGATGGCAGTGCAAATGTGAGCATGTAATCATGCAAATGTGCCACACTGCAAGATTAAGAAATCTGGTTAGGTAGCCTTGGAGTTAGCTATTCTACTTAGGAAAAAGGAAAGTCAGTAACTAGTTGTTAATGTACGTGTTTACGGCCATGAGTTGGTGCAACTTGATCATTTTGGAGAGTATATGGATTTGATACAGATCTGTTTTGGGCAGGCTGCTATTCCATTCTGTTTGCACTTGTTTTCCTTTTATTCCAATGGCTGATTAATTTTTGGTTCTGTTTTTGTTCCATCTGTGTGTGCGTTTACTTTTTTGTTTGTTTGTTTTCTTAAATGGAAAAAAAACCTAAAACCCTAAGCAGAGTTATAATCCATCGAGTTGGACTCCGGAGTACAAATGTGAAAGTTTTAGAAAGAGAAAAAAAAAATTACTTTTAAAAAAAATATATCTATATCAAATCAAGGGGGAAAAAACACTGAAACAAGAGCAGTCGCAGCCTAGAGAAGCAAGTGCAAAGAGCATAAAACACATGTTTGATGTTACTGGCTGTAATTTCATGTCAGGATTATAAGAGGTCACACCTAGATGTTACTGAAACATGGTCCAGGGAACAGAAGGAGATTCAATTAATGAAAAAAAGGGCTTCTGGCTGGTTAATCGAGGCATAGGTCTGTTTTCTAAAAGCCTATTCAGACCCTCTTATTCTCAGAACAGCCTTTGGAGAGAGTCTGTCTTGTTCAGATTGCAATAGGTTAATAACAATATTGAGAAAGACTAGCACTTCGCTAAGATAATTATGCATTAGCTAAAAGAGGGGATCGTTTCAGCCCATTAAAATGAACTCTGTGTAACAGAGCATTATCGCTCCACTCTTCTGAAAGTAAACACGTCAGCATTCACAGTGTTAGCTGTCAACAGTGGAAAGTGGGGAGAGTGGAGAAAAGCCAGAGCCCACCGTCAGCCATGGATGGAGCAGATTTCATCTCTTTACTATGGTGCCGGCAAAGAAGGGTTCAGAGATGCTGGCTTGATTCTGCAGTGTTGGATGCCCCAACCTTCAGATGCAGCTCAGCTGAACAAGGCTTGTGGGGCTGCTCCTGTGCTTGCATTTTTGATGTAGGTCTGCAGCAAGGTTGGAAACATAACTAGCAAAGCTATAGGCTGGTGAGGCTGTAGGATAGGAGGATAAGCGTGTTGCTATGCAGACAGGCAGATAGCTGCCTCTGGAAGTTATCTCCACTGATAGCTCAGCAATGAAGAAAAATTTTCAGGCCTGCTTGCCCCCACACCAAGGCCCATATAGAGAATGACCTGGGGCATTTTCCTTCCCTTTTGCACCACATGGAGAGCACTGGGGCAATTAGGTGCCAAATTAACTATCAAACACCTTAGTATCTTTGTAGGGCTATTCCAAGGCTATATTCTCCATGGGCTTCACTGGCATTCCTTAATCTGTTAATGGCAATGAACATTAGATACACACTACCTCCCGCAGGTGCGACAGAATCAGGAAGCTTCCTGCCAGATAGGTGTCTTAAGGCGAGCTACCTTTAGTCTCAGTATGTGGTATTCCAGGTAGTAATATAGCTTTCACGGAAAGGAAGTGTTCACATTGTTTTTTTTTTTTTTTTTCCTTCTTGCCATTGCTGCGGCTTTGCTCTATTCATAGTTATTCTCCTGTGAGCTGCCTTCAGCAAGTCTCAGCTCCGTCCCAGGGCAAGGCTCATCTCAGGAGCTGCGAATCCCCTGCAGCCACCGCCCTCCAGTCTGAGCTGCAGCGCAGCCTGACATGAAGCCCCCCCTGGGCGGCGGGGCTCACGGGCGGCAGCAGCCTCCTTGCTGGTTTCTGGGGCGGGAGGTGAGAAGAAGTTACCGGCAGAGGCTTTCCACTGACTTGGGGAGCTTTGGCTCCAGCCCCCAGCAGCAGGTTTGTGCTGTGGTGGTATGAAAAAATTGTGGTTCTTTATCTGATGCAAGAGCCTTATGCCTTAATCATGACATGATAGGAGAGAAGCCCCTAGAAAGAGCCTCTGTTGCCTCATTGCTTACATTTGCGATAGAACTACTTCTCTGTGACCAAATTGGTTTAGTGAGGCAGATATAAATTGAGCTCCTTCTGGTCTTCACACCTATCAAAATTAGAGCGGAAGTTAAAGACAGGCTATCTATCTGAGTTACTGCGCTACTAAAACAAGACTCCCTTTCCTCCTCCCCTCCCTGCAATATGCTTAAGGCCTTGGCAGCAATTTCAATGGGACAAGTAGTTTTTCTCTGCCTCTGTTTCATCATTGTACCCTTGAGCAGCAGTGAAAGATATGTACCAGTTGGATGTGGGGAAAAAAATCTATAAATACCTGGCACTACAGTCTTTCATAGTGGGGAATACAAGGACCATAAACACAGGCTCTGAAGATCCCTTTTTAACTTTTTTTTCTTATTGACATCTCTTTAGTCATTGTCTCAGTTTCTCCTTAGGCATGAAATAGGAAGAGCATCTCAACATTTCGGTTAACATGTTAAGCAACACAAGGCTTGACATATATATATATATATATATGCATATATGTTAACATATTTGTGTGTGTGTGTGTGTGTATACGTATATATATCTATACACACGTATGTGATGACACTACTTGTGCTGCTGGCAGTGCAGCAGCCCTTGAAACGTGTATCCAGGCTCTGCCCCACGTAGTGGGGAAACGTTCTAGTCTGTGAACAGAGCAAAAATCCCATCAGCTGGTTTACTGTTTTCTCACAACAGGGAGGAAGCTGTCTATAAACACCTAGAGAGCGATAACGTTACGGAGTGGCACTGCGAAGTGAAAAAAAATGTCCTCAGCTCTGCCTAGTGCAAGATGCATGTGGGGAGCGTGTGGGCAGAGCTGTTTATTATATGTGCCAGATTCTCAGATTGTCCGGTGGTGAAATGAGGACCAGCCTTACACAGCCTTGTCGCTCTTGAATGAGATTTTATTGCTGTAATTTAGTACAGGCGAGCAGAACTAGGTGTTACAGAGGTACCTAATACCTGTTGCGTTCAGTGGGAGTTACACACCCTGCTGCTGTGGATGGACTCCTACACAGTTGCAAGAGTTTTCATAAACTGCTCAGAGTCAAACTGGTTCACCAAGTAAATACACGCTTCCCTTGCGCTCACAGCCGCCAAAGCGCTAACGCTTTTACAGTACATTTACAGAGAAAACAGCACTAGCCCTATAATTGTCTGCCTCAAAATCTGTTTATTCAGAGAAGCTGATTATTATTCAGCTGGTGTTACTAACAGTGATGTAGCAGAGAATTGCCACCGTATTTCTGCTGTTGAATTAACAATCCAAGAACAACCATCACCATTATTATTTATTGCTGTTCAAATGCTCCGAGGCTAGCTTGTTTACAAGTTTTGTAACTAAAGAGCCAGAGACTTCTGTTTATTTTCCACTAAGTGAACTTACAGGGAAGAGCACTTTTTCAAACACTTTTCTGTCTCAGGAAGCTTGAGCAGGATATCATGATAACTACTTATTTCAGGATAGATGGTTAAAAATAGTTGTCTCTCCTGCCCCTCCTGCTATTCTGATTGTACTTTTTCTTTCATAAAAGCCTAAGTTTATCAGTGCTTTATATAGTCTTTTGATTATAGGGTTAGTGTGTTAATAAATGCTGAGTGCTATTTCAAAAATGTTCTATACTCTGTGAATTACGATTATAGATGACTCTAAGCACTGCACATAAAATGCTGCACGTGTTTAGGAGCCATTCATAAGCAATTTGTTATTGATCAGGAAGGGAGGAAGGAAAGACACATTTATTAAAATCTGTGAATCATGTAGTAATCCTTTCTAAAGCGTATTAAAGACTCTGTTAGAAATTAGGAGTGAGCCCTTGGCCACTCCTATCCTTCAGCAGCGGGCTCTGTGGGCAGCAGCTGATACCATCACAGCAAATTCCTGGCCGCTCTGGGATATTCTTGGGCGTCGTTAACCTGTCAGGCTGTAGCCTGATGTAGCTTGTTGCTCTGGTTTTTAATTATCTGTTCCAACTGCTCTTCATAGCGATGGCTTTACTTTGTGGCTAGCAGTTCATCTCTATTGCACATGCTTTTGGCACTTCCCCGTAAGAATTGCCACGTTCTTTTTCTTGGGTCTGCTCTCTGGCTAAATCTTTTTCTCCCCCCCTTTTGTGTTTCTCTCGCTCCTCTTCTCTTCAGGGTGAATGCTCACGGAAATGCTATGACATCTTTGTGCTGGAGACAGTGTGCGTGGCGTGGTTTTCGTTTGAGTTCCTCCTGCGCTCCATCCAGGCAGAGAACAAGTGTGCTTTCCTGAAAACCCCGCTCAACATCATCGACATCCTGGCCATCTTGCCTTTCTATATCTCTCTCATTGTGGATATGGTCTCCACCAAAAACAGCAGCAAGCCGAGTGGGGGAGCTGGCAACAAGTACTTGGAGCGAGTGGGCCTGGTGCTGCGCTTCCTGCGGGCTCTGCGCATCCTGTATGTGATGAGGCTGGCACGGCACTCGCTGGGGCTGCAGACTCTTGGGCTCACCGTGCGCCGGTGCACCAGGGAGTTTGGGCTCCTCCTGCTTTTTCTCTGCGTGGCCATGGCCCTCTTCTCTCCTCTGGTGTTCTTGGCTGAGAGCGAACTGGGAGCCAAGCAAGAATTCACAAGTGTCCCCACCAGTTACTGGTGGGCTGTGATCTCCATGACAACTGTTGGCTATGGGGACATGGTGCCGCGTAGCATCCCGGGACAGGTGGTAGCCCTGAGTAGTATCTTGAGCGGTATTTTGCTGATGGCTTTCCCAGTCACTTCCATCTTTCATACCTTTTCCCGTTCCTACAGTGAGCTAAAGGAGCAGCAGCAACGAGCAGCCAGCAGGCAGATGCGCCAGTTGGAAGAGAGTACCAAACTCCCCGATGGTGACAGCTCGCAAGGACTCAGTGTCTCAACCCCTCCAGATGTTGCTGTGGAGGAGGTTCGGCCAGCAGTGAACCAAGAGAAGCCAAGAGAAGCCAAGAGAAGTTGCTGACGCTGAACAGCTGAAGACTTGAGATGGCAGCACAAGAAGCAGCGGACAAGAGGGGTTTTCAGTTCTGCAAGAAGAGCCTCCTGAACTGCCTAAGTTAGGGGCAGACACAAGAGGTTGCCCTTAATGAGCATAAGGGCCCACCGAAAAGTGTCCCTAGAAACTCCACCACGTACAGCTCTGCTCCATCGCTATTTGTAGGGCATTTCTTTTCTACTGAGCAAGTATTTTTGGCAACCTGCAAGGAGCCGCTGTTGAAAGCATCCAGCCAGGAGAACACAGCTTGAAGCACAGCACAGTCGAGCCGGTGCCGTTTGGTGGAGCAGTGAGTGTGCCACCTCCTCACACCGCTTGGTGCCACTCAGTGTCCAGTGTGCCACAGGAGGGGTGCCCAGCTCACGGACCCCCAGCACCGGGAATTTGTCTTGGCAGCTCCACCAAGGAACACAAACCTCAGACAAGTTGAGGGGCACCGTGGAAGGGAAGAGGGGGCAACAGAAGGGCAGAAATGTCCCTCTTCCTTTATTTTGCACTAGGGGCTTGGTTGTGTCTTTTTTATAAATCAGGCGCCACAGTCTGGGCAGTTCTGACTTGTGCTCTAGCTCAGTATGTATTATTTAGCAAATACGCATATTTACCACAGTAAGCTTTGTAACTTAGCCCCATGACAGAAATATACATAGACAATCTTCCTAACTATGGTACTGAATGTTAACTTGTTTTATTTTTTTTCTTTGTTCACAGTTGAATATAACAAGTATCTTTACAAATCACAACATTTCTCCACTTCCTTTTCATTCTTTCCATCTCTCACGTCTTAAAAAAAAAAAGTGTTTAACAGATGCCTAAACCTCAAATAGGCACAGCCCAAGAGGGGGAGGGTGGTGTTCGGACAGCAGCGACTCTCAGCTCTGCATACTCTTCCTCAGCAGTGGTGGTTGCAGTGGCTGCAGTCCCATGCAAACGGGAACAGCCCAAACCCCTTGAATCAGTCCATGAAAAGCCTCCAGTGGGCTCTGGCCCAAGCTGCGGAATAGCAGCTGTGCCCTACGTTAGGGAATAATCTTGGGGTTTTTTTCCTACTTAAAAAAAGAAAAATCCCATCATCTAAAGATTAAAATTATTGTTCTGGCTCTTCCTCCTAGTTCTCATACCAAAACATTTAAGTCAGTTTAAAGGGAAAACAAATCATGTGGTAGAAGTGGATGTTTGGTTTTTTTACTGATGCAAATCCTGTGAGCTCTCCAGCCCTCTGCCTTGTGTTGTTCCTCCTTGGAAGAAAGAGCGGTGCAGCTGGCTTAAGCCAGCGTGCTGTGTTTAAGTATTCCTAGACGTGGGATACGATTCAGGGAGAGAAGGAAACGGCGCACACCCACCTCGTTTCCCTACGCTTCTGTTTGCATTGGACGAGCTGCAGGACCAACCATGCAGCGCGGCTCTTGGCGCTCGCCTCCTGTCAGCAACGGAACAAAAGCTGCTGCACCGAAGGTGGGTGGGCAAAGCGTTGGGGTTGGTGTGTTTATTTTTTTCCCCTCAGCAGATGTTGTAACACCAACGCTACACTAGCGGACTCCTGTATTAAGCCATTCCTCATAGGAACGGCGCAAGGGAAAATAAAAGGTTACGCTTTATTTTGGTAAAAATTGGAAGCTTTGTTACTCAGTGGTTGCCCCTGGAGTTGCTTGGGATTTGGGGGAGAGAGGGAAGGGGGGAGATGTTACTCCTTGCCACTGTAAAGCTGCTCGTTGCCACCAGCCCTCTCAGGCCCGTGTGGAAGAGCAGTGGTGAGCCCGGCAGCACGGCCCGGCAGGCGGCGCCTCTTTGAGTTAGCGGCGTGGCTGAGCTGGCGCCATGGCGGAAGCAGATGTAGCGCCTTGTCCCACTTTGACTTGCAGCTGCTCAGGCCAAACAGGGGACACACAACCTTTTGCCGCCCCGCAAAGGCCACGCTGGCTGCATAGCAGCCTTTGCTTGAGATGGCCACAGCCGTGCTCTGCTGCTCGGC